GTCCGGGTAAGACCGGGTCCGGCCCTGAAAGCATTTTGAGTAAGCCCGTGGGGAGTCGAGGTAATGCAGGGCCGGGCTCCTTCCGGACCTCGGTTTGGGCAACATGGGAGCAATTTCACCCGCCACAATCGCCGGGTCGCAAGCGCTTGTTTGTCGACCCAAAACGCCGCCTATGTACCTTTTCGGGCCAAACCATCGAGCTGTATGTCGATTTCGACTTGACGGCGGCATGGAGGCATCACGTCTCCATGCCGCCGTCAAGTTGGAGCCAGTCTGCGGCGACCACAGCGCTCAGAAAGGTACATAGCGAGCTATTCAGAGTCAAGCGATTGCGCGAAATCCCACACTGGTGGATTTTGGGGCGCTGTGCACCCCCTAGCTCAGCAGCAGCAGAGGGGCGGTTCAGAATACGCATATGAACCTGGTGTAGCATAAAGCCGTATGCGAATTAAGCCCCGTGCCCGTCTTAGGGGGCCCAGCGCCCCCAAATCCACCAACTGTGGGATTTCGCGCAATCGCTTGACTCTGAAAAGCTCTGGCCGTCCGCGGCCGGCTCGGCAACAACCATGATGCACACGTGTATATGTGGACCTGGGCCATCACCGCCGCCTTTGCCGCCGCCGAAGCCGACCCCGAGCTTACGAGGCAGCTAGCTGTGGGCATAGAGGCCGGTGACCCCGCGTCCGTGAAAGCACTTGGAGCAAAGGTTTTTCTACTCGAGTAAAAGAAACCCGCCAACAATGGCCGACGGTGTGCGGTTGACCGCTCCGACGATCCTGCTGACCGAACCGTCCGCGCCCCGGACGTCGTCGTCGGCCCACCTGCCGCGAGGCGCCCTCCTCGCCGTTGGCTCCTCTGGCGGTCGCCGGCTGGTGTGCGCGCTCGGAGATGGGCTGCAGCATCTGCCGCCGGCCCTCGGCGCCGAGCTGCCCGAGCTGCTGCTTCCCAAGCCGGCGCTGTGCGGCCGTCCGCTCGACCTGTCGGTCGGAGCCCACCGCCTCGTCGGCCACCCGCTCATGCTGCGTGTCGGGAAGCCGGCCGCCTCAGCAGACGTCGGCGGCGAGGGCGGCTCCGCGGCCGCCAACGGCGGTGGCGGCGGCGAAGAGGGCGGCAGCGGCGGCGGCGGCAGGGCCGACGGCGTCGGCGGCGGGGCCAGCACCGAGATTCGCGCGCTGAGCGTCGCCTTTGTGATCGACGCAGAGGCGCCGCATGACCGCCGGCTTCAACATTGATTATTATTAGTATTGTATTCTAGTATAGTTGCATTGTGTTCTATGTACTTAGGCGCCGTACGACCGCCGGCTTCAGTACCGGCGGACGGTGGCGGCGTGCGCGGTGCTGGCCGCGGAGCTCGGCGAGTCGCTCGCGGAGCATGAGGCGCACCTCGGGAGTATAATAA